CCACGCGGAGCGCAGGCCCCACTGAGCGCCCTGGGGAGAGGAATCGCCAGCCCTGAAGTATTGGTATTCTGGCTGTTGATCCTAGTTGCTAGGTTCACCTTGGGACCCTGTTTTTAGAATTGCAAACCCTAGAGTCACCGTAGCACAATACTACCGTATGGTAAAATTGCAATAAATATGTAAGGTTTTATCAAATACATAGGATATTTATAATGTAGGTTTAAACGTCCCGAGTCACTGAAAGTGAATCCACCGACAGTACGGTGTCTCTGCGCAGACCTGGGCCGACCTGTCACGGAAGCTGGAGGTTTTTATGGCCACCAGGGCACTTTGTAGAGCAGTTCTCTGGAAGACGCTATGTTTTAGATTCCTGCTGAGCTTCAAACTTGCTACTCCATTGTCATTTACTGATGGAAAAGATATTGACATTTGAGTTTCTGTGAGACGGTCTGTATACGCGGGATGTAAAAACAAAAAAGCCAGTACAGAAGTTTGTATTTAATGACACACAAAAAGTAAACTTTAGATTCAGACATTTGGGGAGGGGGAGCCTCTCCTAGGAACTCCAGGGCTGATAATTCTTAAGAGAAGAGGCATAATCAATAATCTTTGAATATTCCTCATATTTGTGATTTCCCAAAGTCGCACGTGGTCACATATTTCTCAAGTGTTCATACATTTAGGCATTTCAGGTCTTGAGATACACGGCAGGTATGGCGGCATTCATAAACGATGTTGCTGTTCTATGTGTTTAGAGGAGGATAGGCTTAGCGTAATGGACTATTTTTGGTGAGAAAAAAAAATAGCTGTTACCGTATTTAGCCTTTGTTCTCCAAGCTGGCTTAGTCTGGGGCTTCATGGGTCTCCACGCCCCAACCTGTCTAGTCACCAGTCTCCCCAGAAGCTCCAGTCCTCTTATTTGGAATCAGATTTCCAGAAGTGAGGCTGGGAAGATGCAGTTTCATCAAGTTCCCCCAGGTAATTCTGACTAATCAGCTTGGAGATGGTGGAAATCTTTCATAGTGTCAGGGTTATGCTATGGGGCCACTGTGTTCTAGGCAGTTTCACTCACTGTTATGTTTCAGGAAACAAAAATCATACCTTACCTAAGTATTTATATGGCTAATAAATTAAATTATTTGAATTTCTCCTTAAGATCTGGTGACCCCTTGAAGCTAACAAGTACCTTTGTATGGCTGCTGCTTGTCTAGATTGTCTTTTTATTTGGTTTTTTAAAAACCGTTCTCAGTCTGCCAGGCCTCTGACACTTGGTGAACAATTTGGGCTGATTTTAGCTCCTTCCTTTGCCCTGTTGCTCTGTACGCTCTCACTTGAAGTCAGATATTTATATAGATTGTTACGTATGATTTTTGACCTTCTATAATAGGACATATACATTGGTCATTAATTTGGTTACATTTATATAAATTCATGGTTTTGGATTTAGTCCAGGCTTAAAACCTTGATAATAAGCATTGTAGAATAAAGTACAGTATCCTTAATTCTTGTGATGAATTTTATTACACTAAAAATCTCTGTTTCTCTTGACCAAAATATGTGCAAATAGGCATTAGGATTTCCTCCTTTATGTGTTTTTGTTTTTTATACTGGGGATTGAACTCAGGCCCTTGCATTTACGAGGCAGGTGGCAGAACCACTGAACCAAATCCCCAACTCCTCCTTTAACTATTAGGGAAAAATAAAAAATAATTGATATCTCAAGAAATACCAAAGTAGAAGTTCAAATTTCAGATGGTTACAAATTGCTTTTAAACCCTGCCCAACTTAGTTTGTTACTGTTGGAAGGTCTGTATTTAGTTAGATGTAGAATCTGCTGGAGTTTGGTGTTTGAGGTGAGTGATTTCTAAACAGTGAGCAGGCTTGTTCCAGTTCTTTTGCACCAGTGTGCGCCTCACCCAGCTGCCCGGATCTTCCGCGTCTACACAGCTGAGACTCAGCCGGCTCTGTAGACGAAGCTGCACTCCTCAGGGCAGTGGCCAGGGTGACAGATGCTCCCAATGAGTGTTTGAGTTGAACTGAATAATTACTTTGTGCTCAGGACATATTTTGAAAGTACTTTCTAATTAGGGGAAAGTAAGTAATAGAGAGGCTGCTGAGGTTCCTTCTGACGGTCGTCGGCTGCCTCTGCTAATGAGTTGTGTTCGTCAAGCCCAGCCCCCATGGCATGGCCATTTCTGCATGAAATGGTGCACAGAAGAGAGGAGTGAGCTAGCAGGACAACGTGGACCGCATCTCCCAGCCCCGAAAGATGTGCTGTGCAGCACCTTAAGCATTTGGCTCCGCCACGTATCTGAAAAGAAAGAAGTAACAAATCAAGAGTTCCTAAAGCAGGATTTGAACCCTGGATAATGTCCCACACTGTGTTATGAACTTTTCATGTCATGATTTTTATAACTCATGGTACTGAAGCAGACATGAAAGTGTTTAAAAAAAGCAAACACTACTTAGAAAGAAGTCCAGCATCTACCCTTTATAAGGAATTATGTATTTATTTTGAAGATGCACAAGGAAGGTACGGATCTAGCAGAGGTTTTCCATATGGTAAGGTTGTTGGGAGGGAGAGTGAAGAGCTGGTTCAGGGAAACACATCCTGGACGGTTTGGGACTTATCCCTGTGAGTGTCCTAAAGCTGAGAGTCAGCCCTACATGAACTGGAGTGATTGTTTGCCTTCTGCATGAGGAGATAATGCACACAAACCTGTCTGGCCTTGCATTTAGCACAGAGTAAGAGCTCAGTAAATGTCAGTTACTTTACTCTTCACTATTATTTGACAGGTGCTGGGGATTCTTTGTTTCATCTCCCTTCTGCCTCTGCACCCTCATTCCTCATTCCCTGCTTGCCTGGATTCAAGCCTGTCTGTCCACCCGGTTTTTCTTGCGGCTTCTCCTGGAAGCCAGGTGTCCTTGCGCCGGAGTCGTTGCCAGCTCTGCTGCCCCTGCTGAGGCTTGTCCTTCCTTGCTTGTGCACATGCGGGTTGGTGGAGGGGTTGGGAGATGACAGGCACAGATGGTAACAAGTGTGGATGTGCATATGGGCCAGCACAGCTTGATGCATCCTAGTGTCTGTCACCCGTGCCCAAATACTGCCCCAAATGCCCTCCAGGTGCAGTGGCCCCTAATGTGCTAAGCGAGCTCTTTCCTGATGCCTGAAACCCTGGCTCCAAATGCCACGTTTCCCTTCCCTTCTTTCTCTGGCACCTGTAACCTCTTCAGTACCACAAAGGATTTATTCTACTCAGTTTGCCACCTTCTGTTCCTGAGGAGGTCTTTGTGGTGATGGGTGCTCAGTGAGGTGAGTCTAGTGTGGACCAGACCGATCCTGGGTAGGATCGAACCCTGGGCGTGGGGAAGGAGGGAAAACCCACGCCTAACTACACCACTCTTTGCAGTAGAAAGGCTAAGAGTATGGATTCGAAACAGAGAAACTCATTCTGCAATGTGAAAAGATTGCATTTAGGATGAAAGGAAGAATATTGCCAGAACTTTAGGTTTATTCATTAGGCTGTGAAGTGATTTTGCCTCTTTGCAATTGAATGGTAATGTGAATGCCATCTTCCAGATATTCACATTCATAGATGTACTGAAATCATAAACATGTACCACCATACCTGGCTCTGTGTAGAGTTGAAGGTGTGATTGTGAGTCCTGAGGTGCCGAACAGAACCAGCTGCCAAATCCACCTTTTCCTGGGAGTTTCAAAGCAGGAGTTGCCTGGAGGGTGGAGGAGATGCTTAGGGCTGCTCTCCATCCCTGTGTGGGATTGTGGTGGAAGGAGGGAGGGGCGTTGGCTTTTACCATCAGCACCTGGTACAGAGCTTGGCAGGAACAGGTCCCAGTAACTGGTTCCTGAGGCAGCTCAGGAAGGAGACTGGCATCCTGCAGATGAGTGGTTAAAAAATGAGATGAAAGGTAAAGTTCACTGAGTTGTTTTCAACAGAAATCTAGGATTACTGTGGAGCTCCAGAAAACACTGTGCATGTATGCAAGAAAGTAACCAAATTCAACTGTAAAAAGCTTGGAGAACCTGAGACTCGTTTCAGCCTGAAGCTGTAGGCACATGGGTCAGGGCCTGGCATCTCAGGGCAGGGGGAAGGAGACATGGATTTGAAGATTGGGTTGTGCCTGCCAGGACATGCAGGTGTCTCCCCATTAGTGCATCAGGGTCCCGCCGCGCCCTGAAGTTTGGAGACAGTATTTAGGCACTCGTGGCTTAGCATCTGGTTAGGTCACATAGGCGCACACACACGCACACACACACACACACACACACACACTTGTATACCATCTGTGGTCTGTTATCTGTTTTTGTTAAATATTAGGTAGATATGAGATAACTTTTAAAATGCATGTATGATATAAAAAGAACAACAATAAAACTAATGCCTCGGTATCCAGTCTGCTACATAGACTGTACATGCTTTTATACTCAGCAATTTTCAGCCTAATATTTTATTAGACC